AAACTGTAGGGAGTTCCAAGAAATACTTGTTTTGAAAAGCAGTTTGCAACTTGCATAGCTTATGAAGTAAAACAACAACAACAACACATTTTTAAAAAGCTGAAATATATGAGAAATTCCTTACCTTCGGTGCTATGCGGACTCTCTTTGCTGCTCGTGAACTGTTACCCCTCTGCTGGGAGCAGGGCGGAGGAAAAGGGGTAGAAGTGGAAGGCAGGTAGATAGAAGGAGTGACGGGGAGCTGTATGGGCACCAAGTACGAATCGGTTCGAGGCAAAAGAGGTTTCATCTTTCTCTCTGAACACAGAAAATACAACAACATTGCACTATACATTTCCAAACTAAACAGCAATTTGCCAACCTCTGATTTTTCTCAAGTCTCAAATTTATAAAACAACTCATACATTTCTTTTAACTCACCAGAGCTAGTTGGTGTTTTTCTTGCATCTGGAAGTGTCCTCTTTTGGTGCTGTGAAAAGTAAGATGAGACATAAATTATATCAGTTAGGAGCCTTACTGTGCTGCCACCTAACAACACTTGTAACTTGGCGTTCTGTCCAAAATTTGGCCCTTGATAACTGACCCTACGCCTTTACCGATATGAGAGGAATAAAAGTTTTATGATTGTATGGATACCAGACATTAGAAGAAACAAGTGCTCTTAAAGCACATTAGCCTTTCAGACTGACTTCAGCCTCTCTGCTTCCCTGCTGCTCTCTTGTCTCCTCCTGCAACAAAAACAGGTGTAGCTACAACCTGTGGGTCTGAAAGTTTGGTGACAAATAGATTCATGAACGTTCAGATTTTTCTGGCCCTTCTCGGCTTACTGCTGCCTGAGTGCGATTTAAAGATGGCTCCTGAAGAACTAAAAAAAAGAAAAAAAGAAAGGGGGTAAATCAGTCTTACTTGATTAGCCAGTAAAAGCATTGGCACAGGAACAGTGGCAGTCACTGGATCACAGCCCGGCTACAGAGAGAGATGTGAAGTGAGATTAGGGGGGAAAAAAATAAGACGAAAAATAACATGAGGAATCTCAAAACACTCTAAAGGTGTCAGCCATAAAAAAACAAACATTTGAAAGACAAGGATCCAAGCAAAATCATTATATAAACACAAGGTAAAACAATAAGCATTTAACAAGCATTCTTGCAACAAAACATTCAGGCTAAGTAACACAAACGTTCCCAGATATCACCGATGTAAAAGCAATGAGTCAGCTGCACTCACCTTGTACACATGATCAAGTGTGAGGCATCGATTGGCTTCAGGTCGGATAGTCCAGAAAGACATTTTACCATCTGGAGATGTTTCACGAATGAACATGTCATGCAGAGAGAGGTTATGGCGGATGGAATTCTGCAATTATAAATGAAAAAGTATTTGAAAACTGCTGCCTGCTGCAGAACTGGAAACATATCACACTTTCAGCAGCTCTGAATTACCTTCCAGCCTGGTTTGGCCACATCTCTATAGTAAGGGAAGTTGTCCTCAATCCACATGTAAATCTCTTTGAGGGTCATCCTCCTGTTCTTTCTGCTATTGATAGCAAACTGGATCATGGCCATGTAGGAGTATGGTGGCCTCTCTGAAATGGGTTGCTGAGGAGCTTCTACACTGGTATGTGTATTGTGTGCCTATATGACAAAAAACAATCAACAGTTAATAAATCTGACAGTGTGACTATTTTTTTGCAATCAGACTACTATTGCTGTTATTGTAAATCACAGCTGTGACCAACTTGTCAAGAAAGGGTTTTAAGGGAACATGTAGCAACATGTCTGGGGTCAGTGTTGCCTTCAGAAAAGTATCCCCCCCCCAAAAAAAAACAAAACACCCCAAAACAAAAAAACCAAAGCAGGTAAGTGACAAGAAAAAGCACTGAACCTGAAAGGTCTGTGATAAAGGTTTTTGGTTCTCCTTGCTGCTGAGCTGCTTTGTAGAATTTGGCTCCAAGGCGCATGTGCTCATCTTACCCAACCACTGAATGTTGGTAAGGCTGTCATCCAATGGACCGCAGTTTACATCCTTATTCACTAGTATCAGACAAAGAGGGAAAAAAAGCACTAAATTCCACACTTATACATTAAGCATTATCCTAAACATTAAAAAAAAACCCTTTAAATTAGGATTTCATTTCAGTTAGAAGTTTGTCACCTGGGAAATTGTGTGTAGTTTCAGCTTTAACTGTATGTCCTTCTGTACTCTTTGTAGCAGCCGCTTCAGCAGCAGACTGAGAATCAAGTCCAAAGTCCCACTTGTTGCCACTCCCACCTCCATTCAGAAGAATGAACTTGTTTGGGCCCTGGGCACCACATTCCTTGCCTTTAGCTGTGAGGGCCCCAATAACACTTTGAAGATTTGCTTTTTCCGGAATGACAACCACCTGAGTATCAGACTTGGATGGGTGGTCCATGATGCGGATACCATCAGGAAAGCTCTGAGCGGCAGCTGGTTTTGACGGTTCTTTGGAGCCTGATTCTCCAGGCTGTGAATCCGTCGCATTTTGATGAAAAGGCAGTTTTCTTCTTTTAAGAATCAGGGGTCTCCTCGGGCTCCGTCTCATGGTCAGATCATTGAAATGTGCCAAGTTGTTCAGGGGTATTCTGCACACACGCGCGCGC